TCACAAATATCCCTCCAAATTGAAGAAAATATTTCTTAAGATCCCAATACAGAATTTTAAGTTTAATATTCTATTATGTATTGGGGCCGGCCAGGGGGCTCAGTTGGTTAAGAGCATGAGCTCTGAGCAACAGGGTTGCTGGTTCGATTCCCATATGAGCTGCCACTGAGCTGCCAACAGGTGGCAGGATGGCTCAGCTGTTGAGAGCATGTGCTCCTAACAAGGTTTCCAGTTCAACTCTGGCATGGGATGGTGGGCTATGCCCACCTGCAACTAAGACTGAATACGGCACCCTTGAGCTGAACGGCCGCAAGCTGCTGTCGGGTGGCCGGATGGCGACTGGACTTGGAGCTGAGCTAGCTGTGCCCTCCACAACTAAGACTGAAGGACAACAACTTGGCTGTTCCCCTTCCCCAATTCCCAACACTGTTCCCCACCCCCAATTCCCCAACACTGCTCCCCTTCATCAATTCCCCAATAAAATCTTAAAAAAAAAATTCTGTTATGTATAATATAGCTCATTTAACAGTTGGATTTGGATAAACAGTAAGTTCAATTATATATCCAGAAACATAAAGTCATTTATGAGAAGTCTGATTTGGACTATTAGTTATTTTCCGCAATACTATCTTCCAAGATTACAAACAAGATTTATTGGATATAACTGTATATCTTCGGATATAACTCACTTAACGTCAGTGGTTCCTTCCTTTCAATGTTAAAAATGTTTGTGTGGTCAAAGTTTAGGAGGGGATTGCTCTCCTCTTTTCTGTTTAACTATTTGTATACAGAAAATGCATTTCAAGTAACTTTTTCCTTTCAACAAAGCTAAACATTGGCAAGACATTTACCAATGTGAGTCAGCAATGGTTAACTTCAAGTGTCACAAACACTGGGTACTGATAGTTGGTCTTCTGTCTGTAAGATCTTAACAATGTAAAAAGGAAAAGATACTTAGAATTTAAATAAAAAGACTCACATTTACCTATCAATGAAAAAGAAATATGAATTACTCCTTATGAGTAAATTTAAAAATTGATGATGATGGTTTTCTTAAACAGAAAACAGCCAAATCAATACAACTTTATGTTCAAGGGACAAAATAGCTGCTGGCATTTCTACCAATGAATGTGACAGTGAATAAAGAAAGATGAGACTTAGACTGAAATAGAGATTATTTCCCCAAGTCTGAAGATGACTCAACACGTGCTTTTGGGTGTCTACAGGATGATGATATTCCAAGAAAACATACTTTCTAAGTACTGCCCAAGGGAAATATTACATTAGCTTAATTATCTTCATATCTTTATAAAAATAAGGGCCAGAATGTTCTTCGAAAATAACTTTTTAAAAATAGAAGTGAACAAGCGAAGAGAAGTTAGGCAATTTACTTAAAACTTCAACAGGAGACATGGGAGGTAACCGTCTTTGAATTAGATCCTTCAGAATGCACAATGTTCTTTTTACTTGCCAAAGAGGAAGGCATCTGGGACTCTAGCACAACTTCAACACAAAGATACAGAATAACTAATGACGCTGTCAGTCAGTTGGAAAGTGAGGGGAAAAACAAGGGTTTAAGGATGTTAGAATTTGCCAGGAGAAATCAGTGGGGAAAATTTTGAAAAATGCATACCCAGTGTATCTCCTAAAGGCTTTCCTTTGGCTATTTTAGATCACTAGCATAACATTCATTACAGAAGACCCACAGTATATGAAGATATGTAGTTCTATTAATCAATCTCTAAGGTCCATAACAAAGTGCTTTGTTACTCTGTTGAGGCAGGAATTACAGCCCCAAAGCTGAACCTGGGAGCAAGTCATTTAACCAGTGAGTGAACCTAGTCAACCACAGAGCACTCTGTTATTCTTATTTAGTCCTTAAGTAATCCTGTGCGTATTTGTGTCTTTATTTAATAGATGTGAGAAAGAAATTATATTCTATGATGGCAATAAGATGTAGGATGTATTCTGTAAAGAATGAAAAGTCTACTATACTATACATTTCTAGTATACTAAAATACTACTCAAGTAAAAATTTGAGATACTTCCCAAATTATCTCAAATCCTCCCTATTGTGAATGAAATCCTGCATTCACATGTGATCACATTCTCCTTTGACAATACTAGCTTCCTAGATGAATGATGGTTTATTAAAAAAAAAAAAAGAAATAAAGGTACACACAAATTTTCATCATAAGGCAAAAAGTAATAATCAAGTTGCTTAGATTACAGCAGGCACTGGTGCATGTATTATTAACTCTTCTCAATTTCGAGTGAGTGACAAACACCATCACTGTCCATGTACCCAGATAAGAATAAAACAGTTTTGTCTAATGGAAGGCATGAAGGATTGGGAAAGAGGCAGCTCAACTTTCCTAGGCTTCAGTCTCCTCACTAACCAAATATTCTCTAGTGAATGAGTGGTACAAAGTAACTTGTCAGAGCTTTTGTGTAGACCAAGCCGCACAACAAGTGAAAATGTATCTAAAAGTTCAAATTTAATAAATAAATAAAATAAAAATTCAAATTTTAAATGCACTGTAAATTTCATTGAAGAATGTGTATTGAGTACTTAATGATAAGTAATGAACCACAGCTTTAATGGCTGTTCAAAAGATGAAAATTATAGAGAGCAAATGAAAAGAAATTGAATAGGTATAGGTATAGAGTTTGGGAAGGCAGAGAAAAGAGCAGCTTGGTATCAAAGTGTGGAGAAGACACAATCAGATTTTGAGAGAAGGACAAGCCAATCTTAGAAGAAGCTCTTGTTTAACCTGTCCCTCCCCTACCAGCAGCAACCTTATCTTCAGACTTGCTTCTTCCACATTATACACATAATTTGGGAGAAGAAACAAAAAAATTGGGGAAATTGCAAACACCCAATTGAGAGATATAAAAAACACCTAACTCAGAGATATTCCACTTTGAATAGTTACAAACATGGTGACAGGAGGCAAAGAGATGCCACTGGCTCTGGAAATGACAATGTTTTCTATAACCTAATTACACTAAGCTTACTTTTAATATTTCAAGTTAAGGCAGTTCTTTTGGTTCTTTATTTAGTATTTATATCACTTTGCCTACTAATGCAACTTCAGCATATTACTCTCTCATTAAGTCACTTTACCTTGGTGAAACACACATTTTTACACAAAAATGTGTGCTCAAATCGTATGATCCCATTTCCTCATTGTGCCTAAGCGCTCTCAGTAGCCACCTCCCTCATCTACACCCCTCATTCAGCAAAGTATCTGAGCCCTTACTTTGTGCCAGGAACTGTCCTGGACTAGGGTAATCACGTAAACAAGACCCACATGATCCCCGTCTCTGTCCTCAAGAGGAAGGCAGACAACAACCAACCAAATGAATACAAAAAAATTACAAATTGGAGTCAATGCTATTAAAAGGTACTCTAAGAGAAAAGGTGGAAGTTACAAAACTACTTTAAAAAGGATGGTGAGGGTAAGCCACTCAAGGGAGCTTTAGGCAGAGGCCTGAGGGAAGAGAAGCCAGCTATGCCCACCCAGGGGTGGTGGTGGGGGAGATGGTGGTGGTGGTGTGTGTATGTGTGTGTGTTAAGCTGGAAGCGCGTTCCAGGAATAGATATCAAAAAGTGCACCTTGGCGTGGAATAGCACATTAGAAGGGACGGTAGACAGGATGAACGGGGGTCAGCGTAACTGGAGCCTACCGAACAAGTGACATAAGACGAGACTGTAAACGTGGGTAAGGGCCAGGGAGGGTCTTTTTCGTCACGGCAAGGAGTCTGGATTTTATCTAAATGCAATGGGAAGCCAAAGGATTAGTTCAGACAGGTGCATTACCCGATCCGTTTTGGTTAAAAAACCACGCTGATAAAATGAGATGTGTGAAAAAAAATCTCTTAAGCACAGAGACCCGTAAGTCAGACATAATTATTCTCTCCTCCGGGTCTCAGATTTTCCATCTGCAAAGTAGTGGGAGGTAGAAACCATTTCCTTTCCGCTGCGATGTGCCTAGGTAGTGAGTTCCGAGAGCCAGGGGCCTTGTCAGATTGATCACTGAATTCCCCTCACCCCCGACGACGCCCAGCGCGCAACTGGCACCCGGAAACTGTTGGTCAGCGCAATGAATCAATGAATGGCCAGTCGGGGCCGCGAGGGAGGCGTTCCGGGCGCGGGACCAGGCCCCGGGGCCGGAAAAGAACGCGAAATGAGGCGCGAGAGACCACGAAAGCCGGCCGGCGAGGAAAGAGGGGGGTGGCTCCACCACGGCCAAGGCGCGGCGAGGAGGGAGGCCGGGGCCTCGTGGGTTGAGGGCAGAAGGAGCTGGACCCCAGGCTCTACATAAGGGAGATAGGCGAGGAGGCCGAAACGCAGGGCTGAGGAGGAGTTCTGGGCCCAGGCCGGGTAGCGCAGCCACTCACCGCAGCCGTCGCCAGGCTGTGCATGTTGGGAGCGGCCACCGCTCTGCTCCCACCGCCGGACGCGCCAGACCCACGTCCCCGCTTCAGCGACTCTGCCGCCAAAGATGAGGAGCCTCCGCAGCCGCCATCCGCCTCTGGCTCGCTCCGCCCCCTTCGCAGCCCTATGACCTTTCACCCCTGACCCCGCCCACAAACCTCTTCCCTCCTCCTAGCTCTCGGCGGAGTTAGTCCTAAAGTATGTCCTTTGCCTTTTAAGATTCAGGACCTGAAGGACGTCCGCCACCTACTAGTCCTCGCATTCCCCGGCAGGCATCCCCAGCGAGGGGAGTGAACTCTGACCCTCCTCCAGAGGCCACTGAAGGGCGGGAAAAGCCGGGCAGTCCCCGGAGGAGAAGTAGTGCGCATGCCCGTTTGGGCTAAGTTAAGAGAGAAATGGTGGGAAGTCGAAAGTGAGTGAAGTGGAAAATGCGCATGCGTCCTGTAGTCAGAAGGGGCGGGGCTGCCTCGGCGAGAGTTCGCCGGGTGCTGGGGCGGGGCAAGGGCGTGGAGGGGCGGGGTTTGCATGCCTGCGCGCACGCGCCTCGTCCGGTCGCGTAGAGTGTGCGTGCGTGCGTTGCGTGTTTGCGTGTGGTCTCAGTTCCCGCCATCAGCCGCTCTCCCTGAGTCGGGGGAGTGAGCTGTCCCTCTCCTTCGTACCGGCTGTCCCTTCCTTCCTTCCCCCCCACTTTTTCTCCTCCGTGCGGACTCCGTGCTTCCGGCAGGCCTGTCCGGGGCTCAGGACTCGCAGGCACAGGTAAGGCGGGCCCAGAAAGCTGCTCAACTGTGCCGTTTTCCCCAGCCGACCTTCCTCCCACCCCCCGTGGTCCGCCCACTCGGCGTTCACTCTTCTGGAGTTCGCCCGGCTGCTGCTCAGCCTGCCCCCATCCCCTCGACGCTCCCCTAGCCTCACCGGTACTCCACTTGGGTCTTCCCCCGGGCTTTCCTTCTCCTTTGACTTGGTCTTGACTGTCACTCGCTCCCTCCGCAGCCGGAACCTGCCCCCATTTCGCTGGGGGCTGTCGTCGTCCGCCACTCGCCCCTTAGCGAGGCCTGCTATCTCTAAAGAGGACCTACGTTGCCGCACACCAACAGGCCTTGCACATGATACTCTCACTCTCTTGACAGTTTCTCACTTTTTTTACTCTCCTAACCATCCATCTCTCACTAAAAGGCTTGAATTGTATTTTTGTAGTGCATTTGGTTGCTCCCCGTCTCTAGCCATCAGTTCAGGTTGTCAAGTTTATCTGTTTCAGGTCATGAGCCATGGAAGGAAATGATGATTGATGACAAAATTCTGTTTTCTGGAGAGTTAGCCTGTAGTGGTTTTGTGGTAATTCTTTCAAAATTTGGGCTCTGTGTAAATGCCTTTTCGGGAGGGGGGGTGTGTGTGTGACAGTATCTGACAAGTAGCTAACTGAAGAGATATCTAAGAGAGGACGTCAAGTAAGCAGTTGGACATATTGGGTTGGAGCTCAGAGGAGAGTCCTGGGCTGGACTTATGGATAAATGTATTTGTGTCATTTGTGATCAAAGCTATGGATGTGGATGAAATTGCTTAAAGAGAGTATAGTGCTAGAAAAGAAGGGGATCTAGGATGGAGCACTGAGGGATTCTTAGTGTTTAATAACTGGATAGAGGAATACGAGCCTTGTAAAAGAAATGGAAGAAGTAATCAGTAGTGTTGGATTTTGCTGAAAGATAAAGTTGAATGAGGACTGAGAAACCCAGTGAAATCAAAGTAATCACTGATCACAGCGAGAGAGGTTTGATGGAGTAAAATGGAATCTCTTGGTTCAGTCCTAGGTCCTGTTTTTTTTGCTCTTCCCTTTCCACCCTAAGCTTTAAATTCACCTATATAATGATGACTTCAGAACTTGTATTTCCAGTCTGTTCCCAATAGCTTAAGATCTAAATAGCCCCTGTTTGCTTGACATCTCAGCTTGATTTTTTTCTTAGGGATTTCAAATATAACATGTTTAAAACCAAATTCTTAATCTTTCACTCCATATCCAAACTCTTTCTCCAGTATTCCATTTCATTAAGTGACATATCCTTTTATCCACTTACATAGGCTAGACACTTGAAAGCATTCTTGACTTCTCCCTCTGCTCATGTATCCATACCCTCTTCAAGTTCTATTTATTTCATTTCCAGTATATGTCTTGAATCTATTTCTGTATATCTTTAGTGTCACTTTTCTAGTTCAAGCCACAATCCTCATTCACCTGAACTTAATGTCACTGCTAGGTACCCTGTATTCTCATCTGTAAAATGGGAATAATCATCACCTTATTGAATTGTCATGAGAATTAAATGAGATAACTGTGGTAAGAACATGGTTACACAGTAAATAGCCAGTAAGCATTGTTATTGTAATTGTTGTTATAAGCTGAATCACTTCAATACTTTCCTATCTGGCTGTCCTGTTTTCTTCCATTCTTTCTCCTTTCTCCTCCCCAAATTGAAGCAAACCACATCGCTTCTTTATTCAGCAGTAACATGCCATTTCTCTGCTTAAAACCCTTCAGTAGATTTCCCATCACTAAGTGTTTATTACATTTAGGGTAAAATTCAAAATCATTTCTATGGTGTACAAGATTCTGCATAACCTGAGTCTTTCCTGCTTTACTAGCTTCATCTTGCACCATCTTCCTCTCTCTCATCAAACTCTAGTCACACTGCTTTTCATTTCTTCAGTCACACCAAGTTATTTTCTGTCACAGGGTCTTTTGCCATTTTGTTCTGTTTACCTGGGTTGTTCCAGCATGACCATTGTTTAATTAACTCATTCTTCAATTTTCAGCTTACATGGTACTTCTTCAGAGAAACCTCTTGATGCTGTCTAACCTCTAACCCCCAAGTCTTAAATCAGGTACCCTATTATAATCTCTCATCATGCCCTGCACTTTGTATCATCTTTCAGAACTTGTAATTATATATTTTTATGTGTGCTTATTTAAAGTCTGTCTCCTACTAGAATATAAGCTAGTAACTATTTCATTTCTGTTTCTCAAGAATTGGTTAAATGAGTAACCATCATGTCTTTTGGAAGCACCAGCTTACTGATATTCTTGTCATTTGATGACAAGCACCTTTTCACTCTGCAGACAAATCAAAGGATACAAAAAAACCAACAAGGGGTTTTCCAGCTTTGGATGAATTTACATTCATGTGTCATAAAATCACTTAGACTCTTTGAATTGGAGATAAACTTTAGGGCAACTTCTCACTTGCAGCCACAACACTAATTTTATCTCTTTGTGCATTTGTTTTATGGATCTTTTTAGGCAAGAAAGCCCTTAGAAATCAGAGCAGTGGTTTATATATTTTTAAACAACAGATTAAACTATGAGGCCAGTAAGGAGGAGGTTTCCAAAAATAGATAAAAGAAAACATCCTATTTAAGTAAGTTGGTGGTAGATGTGGAAGGTAATATTAAAGTTTAATAATTTGTGTGTGTAGAACAAGATTTTTATTGAGAAATAGAAAATAAAGCATAGGAAGTGTATGAATGCCAAACAAAGAGGCAATTGGGTTTATCTTATAGGTAGTGATGAGCTGTTAAAAATGTTTGGGAGAAAGTTTCAATTAACCAACCTGAAAAGTTGAATAAGGTCTGGCAATATGCTGTACAACATGGTGTCTGCAATAAAATATAGTACTTAAAAATTTGCTTAAGAGGATAGATCTTATGTTAATATTCTTACCACAATAAAATAAAATTTTAAAAATGTTTGGGAAGGAATCAGCATCAATAGCAAATATTTAGCACTTACTCAGTGCCTGTTATTTTGTTGAAGTACAAAAGAAGGTAGGACAGGTCCTTCCTCCCTCCCTCCCCCACTTTTGGGAGAAAGTTAAGGAGGCTTTTGTTGATAGGAGATAAAAAGAGTAGTTCTTTAGAAAGGGTAAAGGATTCATTGGATGAAGAAACCTTGAGAGAATGGAGACGGGAAAGTGGTTGCTGCAAACCATTGATGAGGATGCAATGTGGTAGTAGTTGTGGTGGGTTCTGGTGTTAGACTTTTGTCTCTTACTGACTCTGTGACCATAGATAAATTACTTAATCTTTCTAAGCCTCAGTTTCCTTATCTGTAAAATAGAGATAATAGTATTCCCTATCCTTTAGGATTATTGTGTAATTTAAATGAGGTAGTGCATGTATGGCGCTTAGCACTGTGCTTAGTAAATCTGCGTAATAATATTAGGTTGGAGTGATGGCAGAGTGATGTGTTTTTGAATTAGGGTAGTAACTATGAAAAGACTGGGTTTTAGATAAATGAGAATGAGGTTAAAGCTGATGCTAGGAATTTTTTGCCTGAATGAAAGTGGAAGGAGACCTGTGGAGAAGTCTGGGGAGCCTCTTGAGGGCATGGACTATATAATTTTCAAATTTGTATCCCTATTGGAGTGCTATCAAATCGGAGTAGCTCAATAAATGATTTTTTATTAAGTGAATAAATGAGTTTCAAGTTGATGTTACAGCTTTCAAGAAAGCAATGAGAGATGTTTGGGCAGAACTTCACGGAAAGTTGAGGTTTAGAAATGCCTACATTTGAAAAAGAAGCCCATAAAGTTAGTTTTGAAAGAAAAAAAGCCAAGTTGACTCACCTTTTGAAATTGTATCAGCACATCATAGAGGTGGTAAAGACTTAAGACATTATTATGAAACAGTGTTTATGAAGGTAACAAAAGATACACTCTTTTTCAAAATGTAGCAGGGATAAATAAACCAAGACACAAGTTGATCAAGGTGCAGGCCCCTCCTGGGGTCCCTCATTTTGCACACAGATACAATATATCCCTACATTTAGTTTTGTTGCTCTTTTCTGTGTGTGTGTGTTTGTGTATGTGTATCTTGAGCATTATATTTTTTAATGTTTTCAGTAAGGTAGTTTATGGTTTTTAAATAATCAAAAGGTTAATCTTTGTTGTATAAATGATCACATTTTAAAATAATTTTAATTTTATACATTGGATTCTTTTAAAAAGGCACGCTTATATTTTCTTTAGCTGAGTTGATGGCTTCCGGAGAGCTGGCATAGCTGCAGAATATGAGTAGTTCCCCAAGAAGAGTGCATTCCCTTTGGCACAAGCATCAGAATAAAGGTGAATTGTTATTACATAGGGTTTTTCAGTAAAAGTCACTGAAAAGTAAGTAATGTTTCTATTTTGGATATGTTTCCAAGAGTATGCATATTGACAAGAATTGACAGTTTTCCTCTATTTTGTAGTAACAGTTTTATCCGTTAGCATGCTTTCTTTACCACAGAATGCACTTCTGGATAAGGATGTTTTCAAAGCGGTACCTAAAATATGAGCATTTAAATCCCTGTACCAGGGTATAGAAATATTTTTGATAATGTTATTGGGTATTTTAATAATTGTGAAGAAATTTAGGGAAAGGGGTATCTCTCTGGATATACTTAAATAATAATGAGTTTTTATTATACTTTGTCTTCCTGATATCACTTTGATAGTGAATTAGCATTACAGAGGTCAAAGAAATCTTGTCTTTGTCTTAGTTTCATAGAAAGTTTAACTATTACTAGATCATGCCAAAAACTGAAAAAGAAACTTAGTTTTTTTTCTCTTAACCAAGTAGGTAGGGCAAACCCTGAAAATATGACTATACAAAAGTAGATATAGTTAATTCATTTAGTGCAAGAGCAGGTAATGGACTAAGTTGAGGCATTAAGAAAAAGTTTATTTTATTGGTTCTGCCAGTTTTATGTCCTGTAGTTTGTTTGTTTTTTTCCTTAGAAGAGAAAGAGGTTGTTAGTAGAAATGGTTAAAATGTTAAATATCTGAAGTAAAATTTTATATACTTAACCAAACTGCATCAAATATTTGAGAATTATGTAGAGAGAAGTTATAGAGAATTGTATAGAGAGAAGTAGAAGTAACCAATAAAGTTTTTTATTTCTGATATACTTTAGTGAACTTTGAAATCTTTACCTCAAAATTTTGTTAAATTAATTTAAAAAATATGTTTTTGTTGGTGGAATTCAAGGTCAGTGACCTTTACTTACTTTTGGTCTGTAAGGAAAACACTAAGATAATGGGGTTTTATATTATTTCTTTTTAATTTGGCATCCTGACCCATAGTGACATATAAAGAAAGATGAGGTAATTTGACACAACTTTTCTTTTTTGACAAAACTCTTAGAATGGAGTTTCTTTATTGAAAATGAATAATCCTAGTTTAGGCAAATTTACTAAGGTTTTTGTTCTAATAAAGCATTATTATTTTTCTCATTGAATCTTTAGATATGAGGACAGCTGTACATTTAATGAATTTCATGTGCACATAGAAAAAGCTTAATGTTCAAAAGATGAGTTATATGTAATACAGTGCATAGTGATATGCTTATAAAGAGCTTAGGAAATATAATCCTCTATTGGCCATATAAAAGGGATTCATGGTTCCACTATTTACTGTTGTACATTTTCACGGTAAATTGAATAAAATTGATAGTACTGATTTGTTCATTATTCTTGAATAATCAGTTTGTTTCTTGTGTCTCAGACACTGTCCTAATGGGGATGCAAACATTAAAGAACATATTCCCTGTCTTAAATAGAAGAGTCTAGATAGAGTGAGACAAAGAGGTAAGCAGTTTATAATACAATGTGATAAATGCTCTGCTAGAAGCAAGCACGGGTTACAACAGAAGAATAGGGAAGCATTAAACAGTCTTAGTGAAGATATAGGGTGAGAGAAAAAGTGAAAGATAGCTAGAAAAGGCTTCTTAAAGAAGGTTACATCTAAGTTGAGCCTTGATTTTATAGACAGGAGAAGAAATTATAGGAGCTTGTGGGGGATGGGGAGAGTACATAAAAATCCTGCAGATGTCAACCACAGTATATGTAAAAGTATAGTGACATGAGAGCATGTGGCTTTTTTAGAGAAGTTATAAGTAATTCAGATGGCTGGATTTGGAGGGCTTGTTGGGAAGAGAGAGGTAAGCAGGACCTGGATCATGAAGGGCATTTATGTCATGTTAATGAGTCTAGATTTTATTGTGAGGGCAATGGGGAGTCATTGAATAATATTAAGGAGGAGAATTATATGATTTGATCTGCATTTCATTATAAAGATATCTGGAAGGTGTATGGAGGTAGAATTGACAGGACTGTACCCTGACTTTTCATCTCCAATCCAATACCAATAATCATCAAGAGAGAAGTAAAAGATAATGCTCGTGTTTCTAGCATAGGAAACTGAGATAGGAGAGGGGCCACTTATTATTGTCAGTGCTGAAATAGAGTTGAAAAAATCTCAAGGACATATCCATACAATGAAGCACCAAAAAATAGTATTACAAACACAGTGCTGGCCCAAAATTCTGTAGTTACTAGTTTGAGCAAAATGTCATGTTAACAGACAGGTCTATAAACAAGTAGTGGGCTCTGTTAACTTTGATGGATTCATATGTCCAGCAAATTATACTAAATCTGGCCACAGTAAGTACTCAAAACATTTGATGAGATGAGTGAATAATAAGAGAACTTACAATGCATAACACCTTTTAACTATTAAGAGTATTTTCACGTCTCTTTAAATTTTATTCCCTGTTATTTGATGTACACTGTCTAGAGGCCTTAAACTAGCTGCCCCTAGGCTAGACCCTGCCTAGGGTTTTGTTTGATTTGTAGCTTTTAAAAATAACTTTGAATTCATTGCCCACAATAAAAAATGGGCAGTTTTACATAGAAATTTGGATGTCATTTTCTTGAAAAATTAGACGATCTGGCAGTACTAGGTTCACTGTTTCTACATGATAAAATTGGCTAAATTTGAATAGCAGTTTTCATATTTTACCTGCCCAAGTCATTTGTGTTACCTGCCTGACGCCTGTAGGCAGTTGAATTGGTAACCTCTGTTAACTTATTTATCAGGTGTCTTTGAAGAACAAAGTGTTGCGTACAAGGAATAAATTCAGAAAGTGGAAACTGATTTCATATTAAGGCTAGGATTTATTGAGTGCCTAATGTGTGTTATTTCATTTAATTCTGTTATTCTGCAACACTATAGCATTTGCTATTCCTGTTTTACAATTGAGAAAACTAATGGTTAGAAAAGATAAGTTATAAATTAGTAAGTGACAGCTGGCTCCTGATATCTGGACATAGTATGTTTTTCCTTTGTTTACTACTTTTTAGAAAAGCTTTTCTAGTTGAGCTGTTTAGGCAGATGCAAAAGTTAAATGAATTTTAATTGATTAAATTATTAGCACACATCTGTATTAGAGGCAGTGTTTTTAGGAGATTTGAAAAGAGTATAAATAAAATGTTTTAACATTGAGTGTGATGTGATTTGATCTGCAGTTCATTATAAAGATATCTGGAAGGTGTATGGAGGTAAACTTGTATAACATACATTGTTAGTATTCTCTGCTATGAGTGTAATTGTATTTGTTGACATTTGGTAAGCTAGTTTGAAGAGTCTTAGACGCTATCATTGTTGTAAGCCATTTTTAAATATTAGAAGTTCATTTGTGAAATTTGAATATCTGTCCTAGATAAAATTGGTAAAGAGTTCCAGAAATTGTAATATTAAACATAAATGGCAAGTGGTTCTTAGGAAGAGGGTTTTTTTTGTTAGTTTGTTTTCCTTGGAGAATAAATGATTTTCTCAAATAATACAATTTTGGAGGTTAAGCTAATTTGATTATTCTTACAGTTTTGTATTCATTTAATGCCTTCCATACATGTGGATATTCTTAGACTACTTGGTGGTATGATTTGATATTTTGAGAGGAACTCCATTCTAAGAAATGGAGTCAGCTGACTGAAAATATTTTCTTACTTATATTTGAAATTCAAGACCCTTTAGCAGTCATGAAGGAAGGTAAAAGTTGGTCATGTTGTTTTGGGCAATCATATTGAGAATGCAATCTGTAATATTCCGATTGACATGCCTTTAGTGGCAGCAGTATGATTGTTAGTGGTGCAAAATGCAAAATTTAGGCACTAATAGACAGAGGTACTAGACACATGCAGAGGGAGGAACATGTGCTGAAGAAGTAAGTAAATGTTGGTTATATTCAGACACTCCATATCAGTGAATGCTGTAGTTGTCTTTCTTGCCTGTGCCATGCAACTAATCAAGGCCTTTGAGGATGCTTAATTAAGTGTGGTTTATTGAAATGTAGAAAAGCACATAAGATGGTTCATTAAATGTCCTGTTTCAAACACTTACTTTTAATCACTAGTAAATTGTAACTTTTTATTTTATTTTTCTTCCTTAGAATCTGTCAGGTGAAGGTGTATTTTTGTTTTATAATTTGGCTAGAAGCAATTTATTTTTTAAGAAAGTATGTCTCCTCTGAAGATACATGGTCCTATCAGAATTCGAAGTATGCAGACTGGGATTACAAAATGGAAAGAAGGATCCTTTGAAATTGTGGAAAAAGAAAATAAAGTCAGCCTAATAGTTCACTATAACACTGGAGGAATTCCAAGGACATTTCAGGTATTACAAATTATGATTTGGAATAGATCTTCAGTGACATCTTTTAGTGAATAACTGTTCTGTGCCATACTAAATATCATGGTAGCCCTCCTAGATTAATATTTCTTGCTTTTTATTTCCAGAACACTGACACTGTTATGTTCATATTTTATAAATTATTCAGTAACATTATTGATGATGTATAATAAAGAGTGGGAAGTAGTCACCATTATTGAAACGAAAGCTGATGGGAGGAAGGTTAGAGGAACTATTTGGATACTATCTAAGCTATTTTAAAAACCACAGTAGGAGAACTTTATTCCTTTTTTTTTTTTTTAACATATGTGATAGATTTATCCTTATTTAGTGTTAGCTTTTAATAGGACTTCTTAGTGTCAACTTAATGTCTGTTTCCTAAATAATCCTGCCAGAGTGGTGGTATAGACCATTCAAGGATGATTATTCAAGGTCATCCTTATAGCTCTTTTTTTCTAATTGTAAACTTTTAAAGGATCTCATTATTTTATCACTGCAAGAAAGAAATAATTTTGTTTTCACTTCTATACTGTTTATCTTATGCAGCCAAGAACTACTCATCTTGATAAGAGTTGAATTTAACAACATAATGTCTTCCTTACATTTTTCTGCACTTTAAAGTTCTGTATGGATTAATTAGATTATACAAAAGCATATTCATTCTAAACTAAAGTACTTTATTGAAGAACAATTTATAAAACATTATGCTTGAGAACCTGATCTGAAGTAAAATTTCCATTTGTCTTTGCTTTTGAACTATGAAAATAAAATGCTTATGATTGTGTGCATCAAAGATACCCTTTTTTTTTTCCTTTGTGGGGGTGTACTGGTGAGAACTGGAAGACCTACTAGACAAATTCAGAAAGAGCTGTAAGCACTAGATATTCTTAAATAGATTAGAAATGGTGACAGGTAATAGAACAATAGAAGTTTCTGCCACATACTTGTAACTCCTAATTGCCCATCTCAGTTAAATAATTTTTCCAAATAGATAATCAGTTTTTTAGTCCTCAGCCCAAATTAGCACTGAGTAAATATTTAAATATTTAATCAAACATAGATCATTAGGAGCATAAAGATTCTACCTGTGATTCTATCCTCATCTCAATTCTAGATTAGTTTGCATTCGGCATTCATTTGTTAACCATCTACAGCTTGCTGTGGTGGGTACTGTGCTAAGAGCTAAGAATACAGGGTTGAATGAGTACTTTTCCTCTGGAACTTAAAACCAAATGCGTTCTCAGCTGTAAACATATTTCAAAGAGATGTACATATATACAATGGAATGTTAGCCATAAAAAAGAATGAAATCTTGCCATTTACAACAACATGGATGGATCTAGAGGGCATTATGCTAAGTGAAATAAGTTACAGAAAAAGACAAATACTGTATGCTTTCACTTATGTGGAATCTAAAAAACAAGTGAACAAACAAAGCAAAACAGAAACAAACTCAGAACAAATTGATGATTGCCGAATGGGAAGGGGTTGGGAGGATGGGCAAAAAAGGTGAAGGGGTTTAAGAAGTACAAACTGCCAGTTATAAAAATAGTCACAGGATATCAAGTACAGCATAGGGAATATAGTCAATAATATTGTAATAACTATGTATGGTACCAGATTGGTGCTAGACTTATTGTGGGTATATAAATGTCTAATCACTATGTGATACACCTAAAACTAATATAATATTTTATGTCAACTGTAATTTAATAAAACTTTTTTTCTAAAAAAAAATATTTCAAAGATACTGAGGTAACACAAGGGAGTGGTTTGTGCTCTGAGGATTTAGAGGATAAATAGGAATTTACCACGTATGGTCGAGGTAATGCAGGGGTGATATCTATTCATGGACAAACACATGCAAGTGTGAATCAACACTCACAGGGAACCAGAAAATTATTTTAAAATAAACGGACAGTAGGGAGTGAGTGGCAGAAATAGATGCTGAAGGGTTAGATAGGAACAAAATCTTGAAATATCTATTTGTCATACTAAGGGGAGCTTAGATTCTAAGGAGCCAAGAATCTTAACTTTAGTTTCATTTGAGGACTAGGCAGATGACTTTATTTCAAGAGATAGTGGGAGAATAAGGACATGTAGGAAGTTATTGTGGGAGTTTAGTTGAAGAATGAAAATCCTGAACAAAGGAAAAGGTAGTGGGAGAAGCAAGGGGAGGAAACGGTAGATTTGAAGTGATTTCAAGAAGACTTAACTCAGTAGATTTGGTGGGTAAGAGAAAAGAGTCTGGGGGAGATTTCTAAGTTTTGGGGTGGATGGCAGTCCCTTTTATGTCCTCTGTGATAGGGAGCAGAGGGGAAGATTGGGGTGTGGAATTGGGAGAGATGAATTGTTTGAGGTGTTGAGATATTGATGTCCAGTGGGCTTTTTAGGTAAACAGGACTGGAGCTCCAGCAGAGAGGTCTATATTTAGAGAAAGAATTGGGAGGCCTTACCACATGGGTAATTACTAAAATGGTGGGCCTAGGTGAGATTTTCAGTTATTGAAGTGATCGAATTCAAGATTATTCTTACCTTGTTTGTTAATGAACAAACATTTCCCCTCATATTTAACTTCTATTTTTAAAAAGTATATTGAATGAAATAATGGTTTTATGTGATCTGTTTTCCTTTTGCTTACTAAACTGTTCATTTAAATTTTGGACTTAAAGCACCTGAAACTAGTTATTGTGTTTTGTGATAGAATTTCTACTCAAAGACATTAATTTAAGATCTACTTTGAAGCATGCATATATATTTATATATATAGCTATATCTATATCTATATATCTATATATATACTTATATACATATCTATATCTATATACACCTATATCTATCTATATATATATCTATATATATAATTTAAGATTTAAATGTAAATTAAGTCTGGTAAAATTGTTTTTTCTTATCTAAAAATTGACAGAGGTCATTCTTCCTAATTAAAAAAAATTATGAAATGTTATTACTCCCTTATGCTGTTCAGAGGGTATATCTTCATCAAAAGGCAGCTTTAGAAACCTTTGTATATGCCTGCTGAGGGAGAACATTAGAGAATTAAGGATGCCTGGTTGGCAGGAATTATTTAGATAATAAAGAAACTGCAAGATTTATTAATTTAGTCTTGGAAAAATTTCAGCCCAGAGAAAATAAAAGTTATCACTTTGTAACACATATCCAGAGTCTGTAAAAGTGTAAGACAAATTATTGAACAACTTCTGGGGAGTGGGAGAAGTAAGCTAAGATAGTTCCAGGGCACTCATATTCTTTGTGATTGAATAAAAGTTAAACGAGCCTGCTTAGACAGTTAATAAAGAAAAAAAAAAAGATCCTTATAATAGTGAAGTTTTATTTCATTGTGTTTTGGAGAAGTGGAATTCTTTTGAGGATTATAGTTTGGATTAATAGATCCTTTTACATTGCAGCTACTTAAACCATTTAAAACTTTTGTTTAAAAGAAAAAGAAAGCCTCTAATCCAATATGGCTTTCTAAACTGGTGATGGTATAACCATCTAGATTCTGAAAATAAACTCACTAGTTTTTATAACTTTATACTTGAGAATATGTAATTCCCTACCATAAAATCAAGAGTGCTAGGATTACAATGTAAAGTAAAATTTAATACTATGTGTTTGCCTCTTCTAAAACTAAAATTTATGATTTCAATATATCAAAAAATAGGAACTTTTTGGTTGGGGGAAAAAGAACTAAATGTGGGGAAGAGTAAGAAATGTAACTTAGAAAGTATAAAGTATAGTATTCATTATACAGTTTATTATATGCATCATTATTATATGTTTTTAGTGATAAGATAATTTTTCTTTTGTGTTGATCAGTTAAGTCATAACATTAAAAATGTGGTGCTTCGACCCAGTGGAGCAAAACAAAGCCGCCTAATGTTAACGCTACAAGATAACAGCTTCTTGTCTATTGACAAAGTACCAAGTAAGGATGCAGAGGAAATGAGGTTGTTTCTAGATGCAGTCCATCAAAACAGACTTAACGCAGGTGAGCACCAGTCATCCCAAGATCTGACATTAGCAGTTATAAAAGACTGTAGACCATATCCCTGGTGAATATTGATGCAAAAATCCTCAAAATACTAGCAGACCAAATTCAACACATTAAAAGGATTATGAGGGCCGGCTGAGTGGCTCAGTTGGTTAAGAGCTCGCTCAAGAGTTTGAGCTCTGAGCAACAGCGGTTCGAGTCAGCCCGAGCTGAGCAGCTGGTGAGCTGCCAACAGGTGGCAGGATGGCTCAGCTAAAAAAAAAAAAAAAAAAGGATTATGCACCATGACCAAGTGGGATTTATATCTGTAATGCAAAGATGGTTCAAGATATCAAAAATCAGTCAGTATAATACACCACATTAGTAGAGTGAAGGACAAAAACCACATGATCATCTCGGTGCAGAAAAAGCATTTGATAAAATTTAACACCCTTTCGTGATAAAAAGACTCAACAGACTATAAATAGAGGGAAACTACCTCAATGTAATAAAGACCATATATGAAAGCCCACAGCTAACATCATACTTAATGATGAAAAACTGAAAGATTTTCCTTTAAGATCAGGAACAAGACAAGGATGCTATCTCTCACCCCTCTGTTCAACATAGTGCTGAAAGTCCTAGCCAGAGCATCCTTTACCCTAACAATTCTTATTCTGAGGAGTTTAACCTGCAAAAACAGTTCTGTTAGTACAAGAGATGTGAAAGAATGTTCAGCATTGTTTACAATTTTTAAAGATTAAAATATTCCAAATAATCATCAGTGGGAAATTAGCTAAAGTGTAAAATACTTTCAAAAGTATACAAATTCCTGTTTATACAGTATCTTGCATGTTCTTTAAACTAGCATTGATTTCTTTGGAATAGAAGCCATTTATCCCACTTGCTGAACCTAATGTTTTGGAGTATGCATTATTGGAAGTATATCTGTCACTGGTTCTGACATGTTTCCTTGGCATCTAATGTCAGTGTTCATGCCATAGAGACACAGTGACTAACTTTTCTATAGTGTTAATTACCAAATATTTATATAGGAGAAATTCTAGCATTTTCTTTTTGCATTTAAAATTTTATCCTTCTATTATATGTTCCCAAATTTTTGCATATTATTTAATTTTTTGCTTGAAACATTACCTTTAAATTTTAATTACTATATGTATATCAGATGTACTTTCTATTCAGAAAGAATTGGTTTATAAGCACTTCGATTTGTTTTGTTCCTGTTTCTATTTCTTCAATATTATATAAATAATAACATCTCTTTATTAAAATAAATGAATTGGGTTTTGTTTGTTTGTTTGTTTTGTACCAGCCATAAAACCTTCTCAGGGGTCTGGTAGTTTTGGAGCTATTCTGGGCAGCAGGACCTCACAGAAGGAAACCAACAGGCAGCTTTCTTACTCAGACAATCAGGTATGTTCATTTGAATCTTTTTAGCTTTTTTAAGAAAATGATAATCATACGCATTCTATAAGGTAACTACAGGAAGTAGAATTTAGACTGTAATGCCTAATAATTCTGGCATTGTCACAAGGGTATTTTCCACATACCTGAAATTTACCATTTTAGCTATCTCAAGCTCTTCAACTATTTTTATGAAAATCTTTCTCAAGGGCCGGCCAAGTGGCACGTTGGTTAAAAGTTGGCTTGGGACTCCAGCTCTGAGGAGCAGGGCCCTGGTTCGAATCCCACATGAGAGCCAGTGACGCTGTGCCCTCTACAGCTAAGATGGTGAACAACAGCTCAACCTGGAGCTGGGCTGCTGTGAGTTGCTGGCGACGGCATAGGCTGCAGTGGGCTGCTGTGAGCTACTGTGAGTGGCTGGCAGCTGCCGTGAGCTGCCATGAGCCGCTGTGAGCTGCCCTGAGCCGCTGTGAGCAGCCGTCCAATGGCCGGTGAGCGGCCGTCCAATGGACCGCGACCGATTACCTCACCCAAGAAGAGCGCAATGATCATAATACCAACATGGGCCAGTGAAGCGACGTCCTCCACAACTAGACTGAAGAACAAAAGTACCGCAACTTGTCTGTTCCCCTCCCCGATTCCCCAATGCTCTTCCCTCCTCCAATTCCCCAATAAAAAAAATTAAAAAAATCTTAGATTTATCACATTCTTCTCTTTTTACATGTAGTTTTACTGAGCACAATTTAGCCTTTGCTCAGTGTCTCGTGGTCATTATGAACCACAGTATAGTTTTTAAAAGCATAGCTTTGGAGTTAGATGTGAGTTTGAGACTTGGTGCTGACACTTACTAGCTGTGGATCATTGGAGAAGTTCCTTAAGTATACTGAACCTTAGTACCCATCTGTAAAATTGAGAGAGCAATAATATATTAAGGGTTGCTGTGAGATAATGCATATAAAAGTGTTTAGCCTACTATGCGCTAATACTAACAACCCTATCAATGTTTGCTGCTGTTGGTTCTGTGCCCCCTGTGTCTGTTCTATGTTATGAACTTTGCCCCTACCCTGTATGATACCAGACCATTTTGTTGAAGTCTTCTGTTTGCTTTTTCACTTTCTTAAGTTGTTTTACAAAGGGAAACCAGATGTTAAAGAGAAACTTTGAAACTTTCCTGTAAGTAAACTAATGAATTCTATTCAGCTGTGCAGAGAGGTGATTACTTAGTCCATTTACTGAGCTAAGCAATGAATAAGATTTCATTTTTTTTTTTTTTAAGATTTTATTGGGGAGTTGGGGGAGGGGAACAGACAAGTTGCTGTCCTTTTGTTCTTCAGTCTAGTTGTCGCTTTACTGGCCCTTGTTGGTATTGTGATCATTGCATTCTTCCCCGGTGGGGCATTTGGTCGCCAGCCATTGGATTGCCGCTCACAGTGGCTCACGGTAGCTCACGCCAGCTGCCGGCTGCTCAGATTGGCTGCCGGCCACTCACGGTAGCTTACGGCAGCCCCACTGCAGCCTATGCTGTCACCAGCGACTCACGGCCGCCCAGCTCCAGGTCGAGCTGTTATTCACCATCTTAGCTATAAAGGGCGCAGCGTCACTGGCCCATGTGGGATCCGAACCGGCTGCCCTGCTGCTCAGAGCTTCCACTCCCAAGCCAACTCTTAACCAACGAGTTACTTGGCCGGCCCTAAGATTTCATTTTTGTTAATTTCTTTTTTATAGAATGGGTTATTTTTTTTTTAACATTTTGGTTGAGGTATAATTGACATTAAGTAAATTGCATATAATTAAAGAGCAGTTGGATACGTTTTGACATATACATACCCATAAAACCATCACCAAAACCTAGTGAACATAGCCATAACCCTTAAAAGTTTCCTGATTCCCTCTTTGTAATCCTTCTCTCTCCGTCCTTCTCTGGCTCTTATGCCTAAGCCATAGCTGATTTGCTTTCTGTCACTATAGATTAGTTTGCATATTCTAGGGTTTTATATAAATGGAATCAGTGTATGATTTTTTTTATCTAGCTTTTCCACTTAGCATAATTAGAGATTCATCCATTTATAGGTAGAAATTTAAACTGTTGGAATATTTAAATGTATAAGTATTAACATATATAGCAAAAGCAAATATTTATACTTTCACAAATAATGATTCCCATTAGTTGGATTATAAAGTCAATTTTGTGGGTTGTGACTAGCATTAAATAAAAACGCAAAGAATAGACTAGAAATAGAATAGAGTAGAATAGGATAGAATAGAAGAGAGAAGGTATTGTACATAGTAACGATAAAGGTTGGTTTCTGAAACTTGTTTCAGTTTTATTTACATGTACATAATAGGTTGTGATGTAAAAATATGTCTTACTATGGGGTCTAAAAGACTGAAAAGTATGCCAAATGGTATACGTATAGTATGCTACCATTTGTGTACCAAAAAGAATAAAATATTGATTTGCCCTTGCATAAAGAAACAATAGAAGAATACTTATATGGGGTAGGAGAAGGAAGTGGAAGAATAGGTGGATGGCATTGGAGTGATAATGAGACTTCTCAGTATATGGTTTTTATAATACTGTTTTGATTTTTGAATCTTGAGAATGTGTCGCCCATTTGAAAATAAACTTAACTTTTTAAACCGTTCATTCAGATGACCTCAGAGATGTTTTCTTTCCTAGCCAAAGACTATAATTATGAAGAAAGTTATTGGAAATACCTTTCATAGAGAAATCACGTAGCCTTAATGTAGTGCTATAAAACTTATCTGGCTGAGTGCTGGTTGAAAGCACTATTTCCCAACTAATATTTTTTAATTACTGTTTTCTCTATAAATGTTCTTACTGTATCTTTCAGGTACATTCTTTGATTCATCTTCTGCCAGTGATCTCTGTCCCACTCTCATTTTCCCCATGATTACGTATATTTGTTTCATTCCTCCAAACTAGAACCACCTCAAAAGTCATATGAGGTACATGTGACTTGGCATTTAAGTTGTGGCAACCAGATGTCATTGTTGTTCCTTTTTGTCACATATGTTACTTTGAGACAATATGCTGGGGAAAATAGAAGGCACCAGGAAAATAGGAATACAAGAAATGAGATGGATTCAGTGCCATAAAAGAAGCCATAAGCACGTGTCTACAGAAGCTGAGCAGGGCTGTTGAGGACATTGTGGACATCACTCATTCATAGGGTCACCAGGAGTTGGAGTCAGCTCAATGGCACATCACTTTATCATAATCATAATTGGATTTTTTTTTCTCTAAAGATTTATTTTCATGCTGGTCACAGAACCATGTCTTGTGTATGTGAATCTTTTTCCCCAGTAATTCATAGTAAATTCCCTTCTGCCTCTAGGTATGCTGTGGAATTTTTTGGTTTACAAGAATACTACACGGAAAAAAGCGTTGTTCAATTTATGACACTAACCATACGTTAGAATCACCTATAGTGCTTTAAAAAAAATACTGATGAATGGGCCTCATCCCAGACCAATTAGGCTAGAATCTCTGGAGATGGGTACTTTTAAAGTTCGCCACTTGGGAATCACTGGTCTAAAAGTGTGCCAATTTACTTGAAGATTTAGCTTTATTAAACTTTATTCTTACAGGCCTCTTCAAAAAGAGGAAGTTTGGAAACTAAAGATGATATTCCATTTCGAAAAGTTCTTGGTACTCCAGGTAGAGGATCGATTAAGACTGCAGCAGGAAGTGGAATAACTGTGACTCGGACGATTCCCTCTTTGACATCTACATCTACACCTCTTAGATCAGGGTTATTAGAAAATAGGTATGAAAGACTTTTTTTCTTTATTAGTCAGTAGCTGTGCTTGTTTATAAGTGTCTTTTTGGCCTTGTAGAAAGACCAATAATTTGAGAAAAAAGAGGAGATTGTCCAGTGAGTAAAGTGTGTTGGAAGAAAAAAGTATAGAGTACATTTTTAAAAGATAATTAGTATTTGTCTTATGTGGTTTATGCCTATGACACTTATTGAACACGCAGATGTACAGTATGTTAATTTAAATGTGGTGTAAAGAATTAGATAGTAGTAGTCATAGTTTCTGTCCTTGAGTATGTTGGTTTATACTTTTTAATGGTATGAATTATGGCTTTTTAAAATAGCCTCTTTTTTTCTCTGTTCTCTATAGAACTGAAAAGAGGAAAAGAATGCTATCATCTGGCTCAGAGTTGAATGAAGATTACCCTAAGGAAAATGATTCATCATCGTAAGTTGCTTTAAGAACGTTTGAGGCCCTAGACCTTAGATCAATGTTTGTTATATTGGTAATTACAACCACTAAGGAAGATTGGAGGGTAGGGGGGTGATGTTTAATTTACGGGAATTCCAAAGATAAAAGAGTAGAATTTAAAGTATTTTGATGACAGTAGGTTGTAGACTCAGTAGAGAGAGGATTTGGCCATTCCTATTGCTTTGATCATTTCATTGCACTTCTCCCATCATAGCTTTTTTTTTTTTTTTTTTTAATCTGTGGTACTTAAAGGAGGAGGAATAGAGCTGGAGAACTCTAAATAAGTGTTTTTTGGTGACTGCTCTTTCCAATGTGAACCGTTTCCATCCTTCCCTTTACATGTAAAAAAAAAATTTTTTTTAACCTTATTCATGTAAAAAGTTAGCTTAGGGATAAAAGGATGTAAACCCTACATAAGTTCTAGGCAAGGAGCATCAATCTTTTAGAGCTATTTTCTGGGTTGAACAAAAGGGGATATACCTGCAACAGGAGAGCCACTAGCTCACAATTCACAATTCTGTTCGTCCTCATGGGAGGGTCTTTTTTGTTTGTTTGTTTTGTTTTGGTCTTCTGGGAGAGAAAACTTAAATTACACAGTTATTAATTTAATACCTCAATTAACACCTTAACAGAAATCAGTTGATAGTCAGTTGACTGGTATTTAAGGTCATGGGGTCACCACAAGGGACCTGGAAAAAGCTGAAGAAACTTTATGTATTAATTGGGATCTTGGTTCTGCTGCTGTAATAGATGCAAAAATTCGGGTAGGTAATAGGTCTGGTATGGTATCTGAAATTACAATCACCATAGACTCAGATTCCTTCTGTCTTGTTGATCTGCCATCTTTTTTTTTTTTTTTTTAAAGGTAGGGCACACATTTTTTTTTTTTTTTTTTAAGATTTTTATTGGGGAATTGGGGGGATGGGAACAGTGCTGGGGAATTAGGGGAAGGGGAACAGACAAGTTGCTGTCGTTTTGTTCTTCAATCTAGTTGTGGAGGATGTTGCTTTGCTGGCCCAAGTTGGCACCATCATTGCGCTCTTCTCTGGCGAGGCAGATCAGTCACTGGCTTCTGGACGGCCGCTCACTGCGGCTGCTGGCCGCTCACGCTGGCTGCTGGCTACACATGGTAGCCCATGGCAACTCACTGCAGCAGGGGTTGCAGCCCACGCCGTCGCCGGTGACTCACGGCAGCCCAGCTCCAGGTTGAGCTGTTGTTCAGCATCTTAGCTGTAGAGGGCAGTGTCACTGGCCCTCATATGTGGGATCCGAACCGGGGCCCTCTGGCATCCCAAGCGAGTTCTTAACCATCGCGCCACTCGGCCGGCCCTGATCTGCCATCTTTAATAAGTAGCTTCCCTTTGGTGAACCAGGATAGCTGCTTCAGCCTACACTCTCATGTCTGTATTCCTATTGGTTGGAAGGAGGAAAAGAGCAAAGGGAGGGCATACTGCTTTTCTTTAGGCTGAAAATTGTACGCACCACTTTTGTGTATATCACATTGATCAAAACTTAGTCATATGGTTATATCAAGTTATAAGAAAGTCCGGGAAATATGCCTAGCCCAAATTTTACTAAAATGGCAGAAGGATACAATGGTTATTTGGGGGTAGTTAACAGGCTCCTCTAATTTACCCCTCTAGCCACAGAAATACCCCTGTTCATCATTGTTCCCATACACGGAATACTCTTAATTCTCATCGTAATGGAGACCGCCTCCGGTTCTCATTCAGTCCTCATATCCAGCTCAGAGTCCAGGATTTCTAGGTTATATGCATTCCTCTCCATAAGGTCCAGGTATGCTTTGGACCACACACCTCATGGTATGGTACCTAAAAACTAAAAGGCAAGTTAATCTGCACTTCCCGTTCCCATCACCATACACATATCATTATATAGTTGTATCTTGGAGATACTATGGGTTTCGTTCCAGACCAATGCAATAAAGGAAATATCACAATAAAGCTACACGAATTTTTTGTTTCCCAGTGCATATAAAAGTATGTTTACACTATCCTGTAAGTCTAGTAAGTGTGCAATAGTATGATGTCTAATAAAAACAATGTGTATACCTTAATTAAAAATACTTTATTGCCAAAAATGCTAGCCATCATCTGAGCCTTCAGCGAGTCATAATCTTTTTTGTTGGTGGAGCATCTTGCCCTCAGTTTGTAAAAAACCACAGTCATCTGCAAAGCTCAATAAAATGAGGCATGCATGTACATTGCTGGAGTAGGACAGGATATCCACAATAAAAATTTACATTTAAAAAACACAAGACTAGGAAACTGGAGGAGTCACTGGTCTGTAGCAGCAATAAAATCTTGCTAAGCAGAAATTGTGAAGGCAGTAAAGTCTTGATTAGCCCATGTATTGTAGCAGTCTCTGTTCTGTCCTTAGGGAGAAACCTTCCTCATTGTACTCCAAATGACTCCTGGCTTTGTCCTCGGGTAGGTTTCCTTTGTTATCTTTCAAGGCCACAGCTGAAGGTTTTGAAAACTATGTTCTTTGAGGCCATGCAGCTTTTGTAGCCTGCTCCATGCTGGTGCTGTTCTGGAAGTTTAGAAGTGTCCATAGAAATCTAGAAGTTTTTGAAGTCTGGAAGTTTTTTTAAAGGTAGAACAAGCAGGCTTTTATAGGTTCAAAAAAGAGTTGGGACCAATACTTTTATTGTTTTTTGTTTGTTTGTTTTTATAAAACATTTACATTTTGGAATAATTTTAGATTTGCAGAAAAGTTACAGAGATGATATGGAATGTTCCTGTGTACCCCTCGTTCAGGTTCCCTGAATATTGACATCAAAGTTTTTCACAAAACTGTTTTTCAGTTTACCTCATATCATTGCCTCAGTATGAAAATCAGAAGCAATTGGATTTTTTTTGGTCCCAAATAGTCTCATATTACCAGACAATTTCAATTCTAGGTCATTGGCACAGAGAGATGTATTCCTTTTTATCCTTGCTTGCAAGCTGGCTTGTTCTTGCCCGAATAGGACGTTATTGAAGGCAATAAGAAACACTAACCCAGACCAGTGTTCTTAATTGCCTCAGCATTTTCCTTTAAAGCTATAGTTTTGGCAAGTGTGAAGTCTGCCTTCCAAAACATTACAAATGACAGTTTTATAAATATTTTGCTGAGATACAACAGTCACCAGCTTTCCCGTCTATAATATTTGTGTCCTTACCCTCTACCTTCCTACTGAGCCGGTACTACATATTTTAGGTTTGTTATGGCAGCATCCCACTTCTAGTAATAAAATTTGTGTTTTTGGGATCCAGTTGTAGGGAGCAAAATTCACTCTTTAACTAGTTTACACACAAAGGTATTTGCATATAGAAAGTATTAAATGGCTTACAGAGTCATTAGGAAAGCTGAAAAGGTAGGTAGGCATGCTCTAGGTTAAGCTTTCAGGAATGATTTTTGAGAACCATACCCTAGATTAGGTCATCAAAGATGCTTTTGGCTATCATGAAGATAACAGCTGAATTGGAAGCTATCACGAAAGCTATCATCTGTGGGACCATGCTTCCATTGTCAAGTTTGGAAATCTGTAGAATAACCAGATACCTCCAAAATGATGTTTGCCATTATAAGTAGCAGAACACATGACCTCTGACTTTGTCTTCTACTTTCCAGATATTGTACGAGTACATACAAATTGCCTTGTCTTAAATCACATCATGAACACTAACTTGGAACTGTAGTGTCTTTTTTTTAGTTTACTGGCTTCTGTAGAACAGGGAAGTACACAAAAAGTGGTGGCTGCATGTCAGTTCACCATATTCACCACACTTTGGGAAATAAGTCCCAGTTCTACTTCAAATTCTGTCTGATGAGCCCGAAATTTTTAATCATCATTCTGGGCACTTTTTACACCATCATATTTTTTTAAAGTTTGAGCTTCCTAGAAGCAGATACTAGATGAATATACTTGTGCAAATGACTTATTAAAGAAGTGCTCATAGGAGAGACCCGTAACAGAGTGGGGAAAGCAGGACAGGGAAGGGGAAGAAGCCAACCAAGGTGTGTTTTAAGTAAAGGTCCCAGACAGCATAGTGTTGCTCTTAAATCCTAAGAATCTGGGCTGCAATTCCCTTGGGCAAGTGATTCTACATGATGTCTTTGTCCTTAAGTTGGTAATTGGCTCAGCTGAGCCTGTCATTTTCACTCTTGAGTGGATACTCATAGCAACAATTAACTGATTCCATAGTCTATGATTATGTACCTAACATTACTTGTATCAGTTATATGTTGCTATATTGTAAACCACTGCAAAACTTGGCTTAAAATAGTAATTGTTATTGCTTATGAGTTAATGGTCACTTGAGTGGTTCTGGTTTTCGGGGCCAGGTTTGGATGATTGTGGCTGGAGTCTTTCATTTTCTCATGCATCCATGGTCAGTTGGTGGGTTGGCTAGGGGTTGGCTGGTCCAGGATGGACTTATGTGTATGACTGGCCATTGTCTGGCTGGTGGTTGGAGTGATGAGGGTGATTGGCTGTGTGTCTTTCATCATTTAGCAGATTATCCTGGAATTATTCACATAGCAATGGCATGGTTCCAAGAATGTGAGTAGAAATTTGCAAAGTGCCTGTAGCCTCAGGATTAGGACTTATATACTGTTAGGTCTATGACATTATTTTCGGAAAAGGAAATCACAAGCCCAACTAACTCCATTAGGGGTTGGGAAAAGAGACAGCATTTCTTGATGGGGTGAGGCTTGGGTATAAGAAGGGAATAAGCTGGGACACTTTTAAAACTTTATTGAGGTATAGTTGACATACCATGAAATTCACCTGTTTTAAATATACAGTTCAGTACTTTTGGGTAAATTCATTGAGTTGTGCAGCCATCACCATGATCCCGTTTTAGAATATTTCTGTAACTCCAGTAAGATTCATCATGTAGTCTATCACATTTCTTGAATGCTAGAGATACTGCATGAGCCATACCTTCTTCTACTTTATCCCATCCCAGGTCAATACAGTGTCCTTTTATCCAAAAGACCCATGAAGAACCTTAGTAATTGTAACACTGTAGGATAACAGAGGTGTTACCATCAGCAGTGGCATTCCTGTTGCCATTGTCAAGCAAGTGATCCAGTTCCAGAACCCTGTCCTTAGTGTGCTTCCTTGTGCCAGCTGTTGTAGATCAAGTTCTCCAGAACGCAGACCCTGAAATGGAGATTAGTGTGCAAGTGATTTTTAAGGAAATACTCCCAGGGGATACTAGGAAGGGAATGGGGAAAGCAAGACAGTGAAGTGTAGGAAACGAAACATTAGTGTGATCTCAGACTATCCCTAAGGAAACCAAAATAATCGAATATTATTAGGGATAGTCCTAGGTACTGATACCGAAAATATACCTAAATTAATGTGGAAAAGATACAAAAATGGGGTCAGAGGGAATCTGGGTAGAGCATTTAAGTTGTCTGCTATAGGCTTTATTCATGATGGTTCTACTAAAGTAAGCACTTTTAATCAAAGCATGAGCATATATCTGAATGGACCCACTCTACTTATATAGGTTTGGGTATTTGGGAATAATAGAGGGGAAAATGGGGCTTAAGAAATTTTAACTTTGTGTTTATGAACTTAAAAGTTTAATCACTATGAATTTAAATGATGTTGACGTTTAGTAAATAGTATTTCAAATCTATAAACTATAAGAACATTTTGGTTTGTGTTTATTTGCTTTTTAAACCTATTTAATATCAATTTGAGTAGTTTACCTCTTAATTGATTCTTTTGGTCTTAGTAGCTAAATCATTTCATCTACTCTTGACTTTGGCTAAGAAACTCCATGTAATCTTGCTGTCTCTGGTTTGCTTTTTGTATAAATAAAATGCGCCTTCATTTTTGCTTAGTTACCAGGGTTATGGATTGGATTGGCTTTTGAGGGTAATGAAAGCTTATTTTCATGATTCTCATTTGCTTAAGTCAGTGACCTCTTGAAGCTCTAACACCTGTAGCCTAACTTTCTAGAAAATCAGTGAATTCAGCACTTGCAATGTAAATTTTTAATGACTATTTAAAATTAAGAATTGTATCTTTACACCTATATATATTGAATTAAATTATTAACTATAGGAACAACAAGGCTATGACGGATCCCTCAAGAAAGTATTTAACCAGCAATAGAGAGAAGCAGCTGAGTTTGAAACAGTCAGAAGAGAATAGGACATCAGGTAAGTATTTGGTTTTTATATAAGATACTCATTTATTATATGATATATTGTATAGACTAGAAATAAAATAGTAACTTGGGATATATCTCTCTGTTATTCAGGAATACAGCATAATTCAGTACTAGTTATTGAGTACCAATTTGTATCCAGTACTCTGTTAAAATATTTTTAAAGTATTAGAAATATATTTCTACATCAATTACAATATAAATACTCTGTTTACAAAGAATCTGGACTTTACCCTCTTCCCTATTTAACTACCTAGAACTCAGCTCTTTCATTGTCAAAGTAACTGGACCATAGAGTGAATCCAAGGAGTTAAAGTGGTTGAAATTAAAGTTCATCGTGTTGCTACTTATTAGTTCTAGAAGATCTTGAAATTATTGCCCGAAGCAGTTGTTTAATCTCACCTTGTATTCTGTTTTTACAATAACTAAAAGTTAGACTGTCCCTGAATTTTTGTCAGTGCTTCCTGCACTTAACCTAGCTCTGATCCTCTGAACTAGAAACTCAGCGATCTAGTATTGGTTTGAATATTATTTCAACTTCAATTACATTGAAGCAAACTAAAATATGGCATGATTTTGATAAATTGAGAGTTTAAAGGAATTCATTTCATCTTAACTCTAGGAATGGTTTCCTTTAAGTGGTTTAGAGTTGTGACATTGTACTCCTACAGAAAGGAGTATCTCTAATTTTTACCTCTGAAATAATACATTATGTAAACTCCACTTATTGGTTTTTAGCTTGTAAAATCAACCTGTAGTTAGAAAACAATACTTAAAGATGTAGTAAGCCTTAACAATGTTGAAGTTAAGACTTTAACATAGTAGCCTAACTTCCTAGAAAATCAAGAAAATATACCTAAATTGGTATGGGAAAAAAAAATACAAAAATGGGGTCAGAGGGAATCTGGGTGGAGCATTTAAGTGGTTTGTTACAGGCTTTATTCATGATGGTTCTCCTAAAGTAAGCACTTTTAATCAAAGCATCATCAGTTTGTTCTCAGTATCTATAAGTCTGTTTCTTTTTTGTTTTTTCATTTATCTTGTTCTTTATATTCCATATATAAGTAGGATCATATGATATTTGTCTTTCTCAGTCTGACTTATTTTACTTAGCATAATACCCTCTAGGTCTATCCATGTTGCCACAAATGGTAAACTTTCATTCTTTTTTATGGCTGAGTAGTACTCCACTGTATCTATATACCACATCTTCTTTATTCAGTTGTCTATGAGCACTTAGGTTGCTTTCATATTTTGGCTATTGTAAATAATGCTGCAGTGAACATAGGGGTGCATATAGCTTTTCAAATTAGCATTTTGGATTTCTTTTGATAAATACCCAGAAGTAGAATTGCTGGGTCATAAGGTAGTCCTATTTTTAATTTTTTGAGGAATCGCCAAACCATTTTCCATAGCGACTGCATCAATTTGCAATCCCCAACAATGCAGGAGGGTTAAACTAAGGTACATCTTACAAAAGTCGATGTGAAGGAGAAGGAGAGAGAAGGAAGTAAGTGGTCAAGTGATAAGAAGGTTCATGGAACAAAATGTAGAAGTTTTAAGTGTATTAAAGTTATAAAGTATATCAGTAGAACTAAAGTAACAACTAATAATTGGTTAGAAAGAAGAAAACAAGAATTGGGGTGATGTGAATGAGAAATTTCTAATTTTTCCTGATAGTTAACTTATTCTGCTCAAAATGAATAAATAAAAAAATAATAGAAACAGTATTTAGTGCTATGGAGGAAATCAGAAAAACCAAGTTTTTAAAAATGGTTAGAAATTAGAAGCAAAATTTGTGGAGGAATTCATTTTTTCCTGTGTTTGTTCATTTTATAGGGCTTTTACCTTTGCAGTCGTCATCCTTTTATGGTAGCAGGGCTGGATCTAAGGACTACTCTTCTGGCAGTACCAATCTAGACAGGTATGCATTGGTTATATGCCTTGTGAAGAACTTGAAGAACTCTCTTCTTCAGAATCTTGAATAATGGGATAGGCTGTACGTTATGCTCTAAGTGAATACCCTAATGTAAACTAACAGAATTGATAAGAATCATAGATTCATAACATTTCAGTTAGCAATTACTCTACAAATATTTTAGCTCAATCTCTTCTTTTTTTTACGTTCTTCAAGAAATGAATAAACAGTGCTGGGAAGATTTGTACTGAGGCTACAGGCTGTGACTGGCAATGTGATCAGATTTAGACCAGTGTTTTTTCTGTCTTCCCAAGTGATGAGAATATTAAGATCTCTCCTCTGAAGCTTTTTAAAATTGTCTTTGTTGCCTGTGTATTTGTTAAGCTATCTAACCCAAAGTTAAGCCATTTTCTTTAAAAAAGCAAGTTTCACATTAATGAATATCTTACTGGGAAACGCTAGTCAGAAATTTAATTCCTGATTCTATAGATACAGATACATTTTTTTGAGATTTATTGGCTATAAACATACAAGACAACTGCAGAGCACTTGTCAAGGCTTGATTATAGAATGCAGCACAGAGGAGAAGTAGTAAATGTAAAAAGTGGGGGTAATGTAGCATATAATAAATATGCTGTATAATGACCAATTAAGTCATATTTTGTTTTTTACTAGAATTTAATTCAGGTGGTAGAAACATCTTAATTGTTTGTATAAAATGATTAAAACGGAGTAAAGAATTTTTTAAAAATAAGTTTATTTCCAGACATTTTAAAAGTCTGCACCCCAGCTTTTAAGTAAAATGTTTGGGGAAAAATTGTGGTAAACACACAGGAAAGAAAAAATAGAAAGCTGACCCTTCACATGGATACTGAATGTACAAAAAAATACACGTTCAAGACACACTAAACCAAAAAAAAATATGGAACGCTTTATGAATTTGTGTGTCACCCTTGTAAAGAATTTGATATTGTATATTTAGCTTTGAGTGGTCTCTGTCAAGCACTGAATGACTACAGTGGTAACTAAGTTATGTGAATTTAAGAGAGTGGAAGCTTTACATATTTCTGTTTATTAGAAGAATCTTAAAAGAATCTTAAGTTTTTTGTTTGTTTTTTTTAAATATTTTTATTGGGGAATTGGTGATGGGAACAGCACTGGGGAATTGGGGGAAGGGGAACAGACAAGTTGCTGTCCTTTTGTTCTTCAGTCTAGTTGTGGAGGATGTTGCTTCACTGGCCCAAGTTGGCACCATCATTGCGCTCTTCCTGGGCAAGGCAGATCAGTCGCCAGCTTCTGGACTGCTGCTCACACTGGCTGCTGGCTGCTCACACTGGCTGCTGGCTACATACGGTAGCCCATGGCAACCCACTGCAGCAGGGGCTGCAGCCTACACCGTCGCCGGCGACTCACAGCAGCCCAGCTCCAGGTCGAGCTGTTGTTCAGCATCTTAGCTGTAGAGGGCAGTGTCACTGGCCCTCATATGTGGGATCCGAACCGGGGCCCTCTGGCATCCCAAGCCAGCTCTTAGCCACCGCGCCACTCAGCCGGCCACTAAGTTTTTTTAAATACCAAATTTAGTTTATAAATGATTTATTAAATACAATACAAATTTCTTCTCAATAGAATGAGCATATTCTTTGCACATAGCAATGACTGAGGGAAAAAAATCTTAATGCAAAGCTGCACTCAAAGATAAGGTGAAAATTTCCAGATCATTGAGAAAACTAATAATGAGTAAAGGCTGAAGCCATAAGGCACATGGAGTCAAGTATTTAGGGCTGGGTCTTCAAAGCCAACATGAGATTGGGAACTGAACATGACCCCAGACCAGAACTTGGTTTCTTACGTGAAGGTGGGTATCTAGAATTGCTTCTTTGTGCTAGTAAATGAAGGCAAAACACTTCTATATAACTACCTAGGTTTGGAACCATAAATGTGCTGCTTACTTGATGTTCCCTAAGCAGAGAGCAAATACATAGAAATGGGAATTGCAGTGATTGGCATCTGCTTTAGTGTTATCTGCATAGAGGCAAGAATTCTGAACCCCTAACATGAAGTCCTATGCAGATTAGAGGTCCAGACTGAGGCAACTGCTAAGCATATCAAAAAGGCATGATCGTGGAGTGCAGCTCAGAGATGAAATGGTAAATGTAAATGAAATTAAGAGACTTGAGTTGGGCTCCTTGGTCTACCTTCCATGTCTTAATAGCATTTTGGGGGAAAAAAGACTAAGGGGAATAAAGGCTAGGAATTTGTCAAAGAAATAATGGATGAAAATGATGAAAGTTCACACATGGAAAAACTGCCCCAACAAATGCCAAACAGCGAATATTAAAAAAATGGAAAAATCCACATTGTGGAAGATGACAGGTAAAGAAATTTTTAAAACTACTGGAAGAAAATATGTCATCTCTAAAGGTAAAACAGACTGATATTAGCAGCAGTAGGAACAGAAGACACTGGAGTAATAGCATCAAAGAATTCTGTACTCAGCTAAATTATAATTGAAGAATGCAGATAAATAATGCTATTTTTAGATAATACAAAGAGAATTTATTCAGCAAAAAGAAAATTGAACAAAGGAAGAAGTGGAAAAAATAGCAGTGAGCAAAATAATTTTAAAAGCATATTTTAAAATTAAGTACTTTTAAATTTTATTTTTTTGTATAATAATGCATATGGTAGAAACTTCTAAAGTTACAGGATATATACAGTGAAAAATAAATCTTCCCTTGTTTCCTAACTCCTAGTTGTGCGTTTTCTCTTGCCAGAGGCAACTGTTGGGTTGCCGGAAAAGTCATGACGTATTTTTTCTATGTTTTTCGTTGCAAAAATGCATCATGACTTTTCCGACAACCCAATACTTCAATATTCTTCCAGAGTTATTCTATGCATCTAAATACATTTTGATACTTTTTATAAAATGAGGATATGGTAGCATTAAAAGCAAAATATTAATAAAATACCATATTTCTCCATGTATGAGACACTCCCATGTATAAGATGCACCTTAATTTGGGGACCCGAAATTTGAAAACAAATGTATTACATAAAGTTATTGAACTCAAGTTTTATTCATCATAAAATTCATACAACTCCTCATCACTGTCAAAACTCCCAACCATTAGCT